TCTTATTTTTTCATCTCTGAGAAGGGTAAACTCTAAGTCAGAAAATGTTGCAAGACTTCTGTTCTAACCCATATGAATACTAAGTGTTCCAAAGCAACAAACAGTGAACAACTTGATAGTCAAGTAAGTCCTTCAACTGTGTCCATTCCAAAGCAGCTCCAGGAATGGAAGAGAATTCCATTACCTGACATCAGGACTCAGAAGGTTTCTCTCTAGAGGATGGAGCAGGGATTCTGTCCCCTCTCATCTCTAGGTGGCCCTGGTAGCCTGTATCCTCTATAATATGGTGGAGCCAACTGCTCCCAAAGCACTAGGCAAGTTGTGGGCTCAGCCTCCTTGGGTATTTATCATCGTAAATGGAAGGTCTTGATCCTGAGAAGAGACTCAGGCTCAGAACCTGTGGCTGCACAGTAGTGCCACACCAAATCTGAGCACACAGGTGAGACAGGAGCAGTAGTCCTAGAGTATCTTCTCTCTCCTCGCCTGTTCTCTGCCTCCCACACCTATGTTCTTTCGCTCCCCGCCCCTTCTCTCTGTTTATCTCTTGGAATTAGGTGGGTCATTGACCTTGACCACAAACACAGGAAACAAGCCCGCAGCATGAGCCAGGGAGCAGCGATGCTTTGAGAGTAAAGAATGAGAAGTCATAAATGTGAAGGAATGTCCTCTTCTGTTTTCCCATCTCTTTTCTTTTTGTTAGAAGTTGCTATATCAGAATTACCCTTGGGTGTCACAACAGAGGTACAAACAAATCAAGATATCTTAGAGAAGAAAATATTTCTTTTCCTGTCTTCCCCAGCTTCCTTTAAATGAATAAAGTCAGTCCCACAGCGTGAGACTAGAGCACTCTGCTAGAACAAGACATTTCTGAAATGACCCAAGGTTATCTATTTAAACCAACCAGTTCTCTACTCAATCTGCTATAAAGCAAGGGGTTTTTTTTGGGTGTGTGTGTAAAATGTCAACACCATCTCATTTATATTTTGGTCTAAAATCAACACCAACAATAAATCTAAAGTTGGTGACAGAAAGAGGGAGAGTGTATAAAACAGAAACTGTGTAGATAAAATTAAGTGTATAAAAACACATCTAAGATCCCTCTCAGGATATGTGCTTGCAAATAAATTACTACAAGCATTATTGACTGGAGAGAGCATTACTGGCAGAAGTGTAAGAAGTCTGTTCACATAGACCAGAAGGCAGATGAATAAAAAATAAAATGCTAATCCCATTTATGTGATTGTTCAAGTATATTAAGAAGCTGACCAATGTAAGCCCATTTCAAATGAGGAAGGTTGGTGATTACTCAGGAAGTCTGGACCATGCAAACCATCAATTCAAACACATGAACACTAGGAGCGCTCCAAACATCCAGCAGTCTCATGCAGTTTTAAAGCAACGGTGCAGCTGGGCTTGGTGGTGCATGCCTGTAATCCCAGCACTGGGGAGGCTGAGGCAGGAGGATTGTTGTGAATTCAAGGCCAGCCTGGGCTACAAAACGAGCTGAAGGCCAGCCTGAACTGCATAGCAAGACTCTGTCTCAAAAAGACCAAAAGTAAAAAAAAAGTGAAATGCATATGTCTTG